AATGTTGTCAAATTTCAGTGATAGAGTCAGAAACAAAAAGTTTTTCCTCATCTTCCTATCCTTTAGAACAAGGATGGGGGACCTGAGGCTCAGGGGCCAGATGCAGCTCCCAGCTTGCCTGGATCCAGGGAATGTGGGGAGTGTCTTTCTCCTCCTCAGTCAGGGGTCACATCAGTGAGAGAGTTTTTTTGGTTTTGATTTTTTTTCTTTTTACTTCTCATTTGAGTGCAGCCTCTGACTGATTTTCCTGTGGGTCATTGACCTCTGACCTAAGAAGTGGTTCTCCACCCGTGATTTAGAAATAGGCTGACAAGAAGAACATATCCTACTCTGTGAAGTCAGGATAACTTGTGGGAAAAAGTGACATCCCTACCACACACATTTAAATATAATTTATAAAGCTGTGTGTTGTTAACAATGATAGTACACATAACTCAATATATCACATATTAAAAGCAACAATCTACTGTGGCAGCTGTTTATTACCCTTCATTGTAAGTACATTTATATTTACTTTCTTTTTCCAAGGGATGCAATTTATTTTGCGGATAGGAGCCATTCATCTCTTTTCCTTTTTGATGTTCTATTACAATTTACTGGCCACAGCCATAACAAAGTATTTTTAAAAAGCTATGTAGTCAGTTATTTGCAAAATTCTTTATAGAGAAAACCCAAAATACATCATAGCCTCATACTTCATGAAAGTACAGGGAACTGTTTGTCTGCCGGCATGTATGTAACAAAACACCTTAACTTAGCCCTACAAGTTCACTCCAAACACAACCCGGCTCACAAAAACGAAAAGGAAACATGGATTTGCATTTGAGGTTTAACAGGAGGTCCAATTATGTGCAAATGCGTACACACAATGCTTTTCTCTTTAGTACCCATCAGCTATATTCTGTTTCGGCCTTTTCTTTTTTGTCTATATGTGGGATTTTTTCCTATGAAAGTGTCAGATTGACAGCTCATTCCACTTCATGTACAGAACATGTACACCACAAACATTGGTAACACACACCTTTCCTAACAATGCTTTAACATTCAGTTACTATGCTCAGACAATCCAATGCTTATCTGCTAATAGTCAACAATGCAGCCAGCTGTAATACAAAAATGAGACCACCAATCAAACAAACAACTTTTTTTTGTTACCAATTTGGGCTTGATTTGATCATGTAGCCTACAAGACATGAAAGGCTTCAGATCTCATCATCACTGGTCTCACCTTGCCTGTTTTTAGACGAAGACAGCAATATTTATATTGGGGATTTAAAATCTCATTAACTGGTTAAACATCACATTTAACAGTTACCAGTAAGCATCACCCAAGATGGTTAACCAGTTACATCACTAATATTTATTATTGAGATTTAGATTTCAGTGGAACCCACTAACCAAATAAAGATGGCAGAGTTCTTGCCTCACTTTATAGATATGTTGGGCTTCATATAAGTAAGAAATGTTATTGAAGTTGTTTTCCTAAACTTGGGCACTGTAAGATTTTTGTGGGTGCAGGAAATTGATGGATAAAACACATAGTCAAGGACGAATCATTTTGTCCAAATAAACTCTACTGTCATGGTTATTTAGAAGATTGTCGGGGGAGTGAGGAAAGAGACTTAGCATTACATTCCATTATTTTTTTTAAAAATGAAGCAGTCAGCAGTTTGTTGCAAGAATAGTATCAAGTACAACAGTGTGTACTAACATTTGAATTTCATTGTTTCTAAATTCCAAGTTAATGTAGCAGCTCAAAGAATAAAATTCACTGTGTTGACCTTCTCTTTCTTCAATGGAGTAATCAAAAAAAGAAAAAGAAAAATAGATACTGAAAGCAGAGAGTCCGTAATCACAGGAAAATTTTAATGAGAACCTGTACATTTCCTGCAGCTAAATGGCACTAAGAAAATTTCACAAATGGACTGAACAAACGCCTGCATGCAGAATTTTAGCAACACTAGGTGCAACCAGAGTTTTTACAATAAGCAGCTTATCTTTAAGTATCTAAATATGAAATTAATCCAGAATAGTCACACTTCAATATACATCTTTACCATGCCTTCATGTATCATCTAGTCGTAACACTATACAAACAATACATATGTATGACTTGACAACTGCATTTAATTGTCTTTGTAAACTCAGATATTTATAAAAACACTAGATATCAACTCAGTGAAATAAATGTTTCAATAAACATTGCTTACATTTGAACATGTCGAATAATCTAACCTCTGTGCATACAATGGACTATATCTTTCCATAGATATTCTTCACGTAAGCCTGGAAGTGTTTGCAGGATTGGGCCTATATCTTTCAAACCAGTAGTCATAGCAGTGTAAACAATCAAAACTACTCACATGCTTAAACATAAGTCATTTATAAGCATCTGCAGGACCAAGATCTTACATGTTAGCTTTTATGTTCAATCATGCTGTTCAGATGATAAAACAAACAATATGATCTAAAATACTTCACAGCACAGTACAGAGACTGAAATGTTAATATTTTATATTACACAGCAAATGTGCATTTGAAACTTCACTTCCTGGTATGAGCATTAGAAAAAATAAGAATCAAGTAGTTAAAACTATTTTAAGGTATCTGACAGCAGACATAAGGCTCTAGCTCTTCTCAATGCATGGGTGATTAATGACATAATGTATATCTCTCACCGTATACAAGTAAATTCCCATGTCAGTGAAAAGGTAATATCTCTGAGGCTACAAAATATTTGAGAGAGCAAAGTCTAATATTACATGGAACAACTCTTACTGCACAATGTTTTTAAGGTAACAAACTTTAATGCCTCCCCCAACCAGTAGAGTTGCAATACAACCCACCGCTAACACCTGTAAAAACACAATTTGCACTAATGTCATTTAGAGGAAAAGGCAACTTTACAACTCTGTCCTTGAAAACATCATCTGCACCTGACCAAGAGATCTGCTGTTCCCCTCAATTCACAGGATTATATACTGATTAACATAATACCCAAAAAAACACCACCAAGTTTTCAGAAACAGGCACTAATTTCTCTTGTCCAGCATTTATAGCTCCCACTGACTTCGAAAGGAGCTGCAGAGGCTCAGTACTTCTGAAAAGTCAGGTCCAAAGTACCTCAGACTAGGATCTCAAATCTGTGGTCACAGCTGACAATGTTGGTTTTAGCAATCCTAGTGTTAACTTTTATCTGAACCGATTTGTAGAATGGACTTCATATGCTTCCCAATATCAGGCCAAATCTTCCAGTTCATATTCAACCAAAACTCCCACTGAAATTGATGTGACTATGCCCAAGTAATGACAACATTAATTACAACATCCGCAATGATTCTATAAACAACAATCACTAGAATACTTTAGGAACCAGACTGACCCGTTCTGGGAGGAAAAAAAATTTCCAGGCAAAACAAATATCTACATTATTCAGCAGGCAGTGACCAAGGAAGACTAATATAGCAGTGTTTGACAAACCAGTATATTAAAGTTTATGGAATGCTTGGTATATTTAATAAGAATCATTGGTAAAGTTTATTATTATTATAATAAATATTTTAAACAGAACAAGATCACCTGTAATCTGCCATGTTCAGGAGAAAACATTCCACTAATCTCACAAACGTCCAGCCTATAAACAGTATCCAACCACAGTAGCAGCTAAACACTTGACAAGTTCAATAAATTAATCTGACAAAAAATTTTAGATGTCAGCAATCTTTTTTTTTCCCCGCCCCCAGAGGAATTGGAGGGCAGATCAATTAACAATTACTCTAATCAGTTTTGCCTTTTCCCAACTGAGAAGAAAAACATTTTCCCTTGTTTTGAATGAATCTGAAATTAACAGCAGTTTTCCTTCAAAGAAAAATATATAAGTGGGGTCATGCTAGAAATGAATAGGACTCTTGACAATACCTTCAACAGGAGGAAGATCCAGGCCATGGGTTCTGTGTATGCCCATGTTGTTGTTCAAGAGTTCACTAAAATGGGTATGGTTTTATTAATTAGCTATCACTCACACAGGTTTAAAGAGGAATATCATTGTGGTTCTGGGAAGTGAAGTTTAAAACAAAACAAACCAGAGGATTCCAAATTTAGAAGCATATAAAGTCTTGATCTAAACTTGATATTGCATTCTGATTACATTAAACTTGTAAAAGGACTGTATTACAAGGTCTTGCTGTTGTTTCTATGGAATATAACTACACAGTATTGCTGTCATGGATTTTACTAGGTCTTACTTGTGTGAAACTTCCTAATATGCAATTGACATTTATCTCTTTAAAAAAAAAAACCTAAATTTGCTAGAAAAGGAACAAAAGAGAAATCTTCTCAACCAGAAATGGTCTTACAACAAATACTGGTGTTTTCAGCTTCCTTCCTTTTCTGTTTCTCCCCCAGACTAATCATCGGATTCTCCAGCTCAGGCCTCCCAAATACAAGCCAAAGGACATTTGCTTTCATGCCTCTTTTCTGAAACTTGGTCAATATATTTCCCTGTTCCTTTAACTGAAATCTCATTATTGCATGTTGGACTTGTACCAAATATTCTAATGTAGAGGACGACATCCGCATATTCTGGAGTTCTTTAGTAGCACAGAGAAGTTTTCAAGCTCAAAAGCCTATAGCATAGTTAATCCAAATGAATAAAATCAACTTGCTTCAGAACTTTCCTCCCTAGATTATATCAAAATTCTGTCAGAACAAGGATCCTATAAAAAACAGAAATCCTATAAAAACAGACATTTTTATTTTTTATAATATATATTCAAATCAATCAATCACTTTTTCTGTGATTTAAAAAACCACCTGATCAATCCTTGACTTTTTTTTAAATGAAATAGGAACCTTTACAGATGTCAATTCTACTGAATAGGTTTTGTGATAGAGAAATTTTCAAAACCTAATAGAGGCATTGGTTTCTTTTGTAAAACAAGTTTTACAAATTCTTACTTTGAGTTCTGAGTAAGAAGATATAGTCAAAGGAATTTACTCACTCATGACTGGAAACTTCTTTGCCTATGGCTCAAGGCAGGTATAGAACCAAGGTATCTTCTTGGAAAAGATTTCTCAGAGGTATACATGTCCTGAGGGGAAAAAAGAAAAAAATATTATTCTTAGAACTTATAGCCAAAGAATTTAAAAATTATGTTTTCAAAATAAATTGTTAGACTGACATTCCCTTTATAAAAAAAAATCTCAAACCAAAAAATGTCTGTTAATTATTAGACTTCATTGTTTTAGGATATAAAACAGCATTTCTGAATGGTAATGTTCTGAAATTCTCACTTTCCTGTAACAATGATCTAGCAGGTTTTCAAAGACTAATTAATAAGCAGTAACTGCTCCCTTATGGGTAATAAATGTTCATCATGCACGATCCACGTAAATTCAGTTAGCAGTAAGATGCAATAAAAAGTCTATGAGAGGACTGCACACAATATTTAGTAAATAAATATGGTTTTGGCACTAACTTCTAATATCCGCCCCCCAGACACCAAGTCTTGAAAAGTGACAACTCCAATTAGTGTGAGTATAAGCCATCACACCTGTCAAATATAAAAATCCAAACCTAAACAAGACATCTAAGTAGGACAGAAGATTTTAGCTAGTGATACCTGGCTTTATCCAAAGCACTAATTTGTAATAGTGAAAGCACAGTGAGTATGTTTTAGAATGTTTATTTAAACCTCCATCCTGCTGCAATGAGCAATCTTATATAGATATATGAAAAGAGTTAAAATTGAGATATTGTATGTCATAATTAACCTAGAAAGAAAAAAGCAAAGTTCATTATATATTAGACTATAAAGAGAGTTTTCTTTCAATTCCAGCACAGAAGCAGACTTTCTGTGAACTAATGAATATTCTTTAATGTGATCTATTTCTTCTTTCAAGGACCAAATATAACTTGCAGAGCCTGACCACCTGTGCTAGTCAAACCAGATAATTCCTTCTGCTGACTCAGATTTCAAGTCTCAATTCTCTTGATCTCATAAGACTAAAGAGAATACACACAAGGAGAGACAATTATTACACTTCTTTAAAAGCATGACTAAGCATAGTATTTACAGATTTGCCGCAAATGCTGAAAGTAGAGAAAAGAAAATATTCATGTATTGCTGAACCAGTTCCCACTGCTAAAACTGTCAAAAGGGACAGCTAGGAAGAAGACTGTAAGACTGCAGTGCTGTTGCAAATACCAATGAATAATGCAAACAAACTGT